CTGAAATATCCATGTAAGCAGATGATCACTGTCAGATATTTTCATCTGATCCATCGACTGGACGCGTGGAAGAAAAGCTAATGTATTAGAGGACACGAATTATATGTTGAAGTGGTACCGAGAAAAAATAGGAATAGCACCGAGGGAATGGACATGTATATAGGTGGAGTTGAAATAGAGCAATCTCAAAATGTCAAGCTGCTAGGAATAGATATTGATTCTTAACTGAACTGTAGTAATCATATAAGTGATTAATGTAAAAGGACAAGTCAGCAAATTGAAGTTCTCACGAGGTTAAGGAATCTTATACCTGCTTCTGCCAAATTGCAATTTTTCAAGACCACTATTTTATCCCACTTAACATAATTATTGCAGTACGGTCTGGCATTTTGTAGAGCGTCAGACAGACGCAAACTGGAAAGGTTACGGAGAGAGCTCTGTGCACTGTATTTAACAACAGATCAGAAAAAAAGAAATTTATTTCGGCAGGTCAATCTGACGACACTTTATAATAGAAGGCTACACGACATAGTAATTCTTATGTTTAAAGCAAAGAACAAGCTATTACCAAAGTATCTGCAGGACCTTTTCAACCTTCAAGATGAGGGAGAAAAACGATATAATCTAAGGAACTCTGATTTAATCATGCCACCCTTTAACATTATAAAGTATGGAAAACATTCTCTGTCATATTTAGGAACTTTTCTGTGGTCCAAGTTGACAAAAAAGGGACGGGATAAAATAGTCTGAATGTTTTTTAATGTTTGGTAAGGAAAAAAGAGACTTGTCAGAGGTCTGAATGGAAGATGGGGGTTGCAAAGGCTGCTATTTGTCAGGGGCACTCATCAACTATTTTCTGTAAAATATCTGTTCGACCTGTTCGGAGAAGCAAATATTGCCTAGAATTTTCCATTACTTGAGAACGGCTAAAAATTTCTAAATGACCGTTCCATTCATATACAATTTTTGAAGCGTTTCTAATAAGTTCCGTACGATTTTCTGAAGTTTAATTGTTCAAATTTCAATGCCCTGGTTAGGCTATCTTTCCTACGGAAAAGGAAACCTAAAATTTTCGGATTCAAAAATGTAATGGAGAGGGTAATCGGAGAAATTCTCTCCTTCGTAATACGTCAAATTGCTTCTAAAATTTTCGAGAAAATAATACTGAGGACCTTGTAATTTCGAAAGAACTCAGGTTCCCATAGGTTAACCGATCATTCTCTCTTGAATCACCCCAATTTTTCCGAATAAGAAAACTACAATAAAGACTTACTGTGAGGAGAGTCGGCTCTGCCTCCCCCCTCCAGAGTCATTAGCCAGTTCCCCCACCGCCCCCCCCCCCTCCAAAAAAAACAAACTTCGAAAAAGATTCCGCCGTCCTTGCACATCTAAGGAGCTTCGGGGTGTAATTTTCAGACATTCTGTGTTGCAAAGTGCATTTGAAGATATGCTTTTGTTTCCCTACTACTGTTTCCCTCTAAAATGCTCGGTAGCCCCCACAAAAGTCAGTAAAATGCTCGATAATACTCATCATAGAGTAGACTACGAGAAGTCCCTCATTTTCCCTCAGGGATAGTGGAGCGACCCAAACGCGAGCGCGTGTGAAAATTACCCCTCGCGAGAAGGGCGAGACGCGGACTCTCCCCGCTGCTTTTCGCCTTTCTCATGGGGTGAGATCAAGCATGGACTGAACCACTGCATAGTGCGCCTCTGCATAGTTCGCCTTTACATGCTGAAGTCCGATCTAACCTCCCATCCGGAACTGATTCAACCACTGCTGGGCTGAACGAAAGGAAAAACTAACACCATTTTTTTATTGAGGGAGGCGGCGTTTGCTTAACGCACAAGTCGGTCTAAGACCATGTATTAAAGTCGGTTATTAGGCTTTTCACCCAACACCAATTAATTAACATTAATTGACTTGGTGAGATTTTACTAGTATGAGAAAAACATAGAAGCTCGTAAGTCTTATAACGGCCTAAATGTAAATCAGTGTAAAACTGGAGTTATTTTAAGATAAGAACTTGCTTGATGAAAAAATGCTCCAGTCTGCAAGTCAAGGTCACCCATCGATCCAATCTCGTGAGAAGATAAACTTAACTGGCATTTAGGACTAATAAACGTTTCTGTTGTGCGTTGCAATAGCAACGAACGGTAATGCACAGTGTTTGTCAGAGCGATTTCCACTAGGCCGGTACGTGTTCCTTTATAACTTTTTTACTACCGAGTAGTTAAGTCTTAGGTGCTTTACTTTATAAAAAACATTGACTTATAATGAACACATTTACGGGAAACGTGGTCATAGTTTACATTGTAGGACACAACTAAGGACAGGAACTTATTTGATGTAAGTTCTATATCAGGTAGCTGATTTCGTTAAGTGATGCTTAGTGCTGTATAATAGACGTGTTTTAATATATAATTAAAAGCTAATTAATTTGTTCTTCATCATCTGAAAAACACTTTTCGTTAAAGATTAAAGTAATTAAACTCGCTGTTTGATTAGAGGTTCTGTTTGAAGAATTATTCTTGCGTATTCTTGGGCTCAGGTCATTGATGCCGGTGCTTTTTGTAAGATCTATTTCAAACAATTCTCAAGTCGTTCCACCTCTTTTTCGACCACAGGTTTAGTAAGCAAGTTTTCGTAGTGAGCTCCTGATTGTAGGAAGGCCTTAAATTCCACAGATGGTTGCCAACATTTGCAAAGTATCCAAAATGAATATCAGTTGCCTCAAGATTGTAATTGATAAAAGACCTTTGCAGTTTCTTGCAGTGTTTTGTTCATAAAACAAGTATATGGCCGTTTCATGCGGTTCTTACCCACACTGTGGTAGAAGTGAAAGCGGCAGAACTTACCTATTGAAAAATGCTTAGCACATATACGAATCAAGTTCCAAGGCAACTCTACAGGTAAATTTAACTAAACACTTGCCAATCTATTTTACATGCCCAGCAGCTGTTACTGGCGTCAAACTTTTAAAACACGACGCAAAACTAAATAAAAAAAGGTAATAGTGTTGTCGTTTTGTAAGTTTGGTGTCTCTCCTGAGCTGCCGTTTATATAACTGTTTTTGTTTTTAACTCCAAGGTTTTTTCTACGCGATATGTTAATTGTTATCATCTATGATGAGCCGTAACACTTGAGTTTTCCAAGAGTATGATAACCTTGGTTGTAGCTATTCCCTGCATCACCAAACCTGAGCTGTTTTATTGGAAGTTTTGTCTTGTCAGTCAGGAGACCGCTATCTTCCCGCCATACACCGTCATTCTTATCACAGTTACAGCCATAGCTGGAGTCCGCACATGAGTTGGTCATCCCGCATGCGCACTTACCACTTCCAGCTAATGCTCCACCCCAGTACGTCATCTTGGAAGAATCACGTGACACCCACCATCCCATTCCATTTCTCAATAGCCTTGAACCATAACACTCGTATTTGATAAACTGTTCACAGTGTGAGGAGACTCTGGTCAGACTTGTCAGCTGAGACAGACTCGCTCCAGTGTAATGAATGAAACGTGAGTAACTACCCTGACTTCCATAACCAAGGCCGTCACGCACCTTTGTTCTGCTCTCACTGTCGTGACTGATGACTGTCACACCAACACCATTCTTGTCAGCCATATCACAATATACAGTAAATGGTGCCAGGCCTCCCTCGCTATCTGGATCAATGACGTAATTTCCGCTCACACTGCTCACGTATTTTCTTATAACAGAACAGGAGACGGGTGCTGTAACTGGAGAATTGATTTTGACTTTAGCCTCAATTGTTGACACAGCATTAGTCGCCACACAGCTGTAGGATCCCTCGTGTGATTTCCTGAAGTTTTCCAAAACTAAAGTGTTATTTTGAAGAACAATAGCGTCAACAGGAAGTGAGGATTTACCATTCTTCGACCAAGTAATTGTAGTTTTCAGGTCACTTTCGGCCACACACGGCAAACGAACAGTTGAACCAAAAATATAAGGAGTCACCTCTTGAGGAAAATTCATTTTGAAGCGCAGAGGAGAAAATACCATAAGCAAACTCGTGTCTGATGCGAATCCGAGGATATTCTTTGCCTTACAAACGTATGTTCCTCTGTCCGTCTTTGCTACATTGTAGATTGTCAGTGCTCCGTTTATCACCCCATTTCTATCTGTCGGTATGGTTCCATCGGACTTGGACCACTTGATATCGGGTTGCGGCTGACCAGTAGCAGTGCAGGCGATAGTGACGTTTTGTTTTTCCTCTGCCAACTTTGTTTTAGAAGACAGCAAGACCTGAGGAGCAACTGTCAAAAAATTGATAACATAAAACAATATTGTTAGCCCTGTCATATCCCGCAAGAGAAGGAAACGATGCTTCAACCAGGAGCCATAATCGGGGTAGGAGATTATAACTGGATACCTTTTCCAGTAATGGCGTTGGTTCCATCGAAATACATTCGAACCTCCACTATCAGCTACCTTTCTATAACGGCAACTGCCACTAAAGCGTCCCCCAACTGCCAAATAAACCTCTCGACAACGACCAGTTTTTTCAGCGACTGACAAAAAGGTCAAAACGGTATGACATTTGATTCCGTTGGCGTGTTGATGATTAATCGCGGCAATCGTATACTGCGCAGTAAGCAAGAATTGTCCCAATACTTCTGGCGAATAATGCGAACCTTGCTCGTTTTGACACGTTAACATTTTGATTCGAAACATTATTCAAGGTTTTTTTTTTCTTTTATCTCTACATAATTATTATATATGATTGGATTACTATTCTGAGATACTACCTAAAAAAATTTGTTATATAATTTACACCCCTACCTCCCCATAACGGGCCACCTCTCTACAATGCTCACTTTCTCCTGTCCTCAAGGTGGCCGTTGTGGAGAGGTTTTCTTTTCTTATTTAAATTTGGTAGCCACAGTGAGGTTTAAATAACAAAAGCCCTAATTTGCACAAAAAAGAAAAAACCTGAACGATCCTGGTCATAGTAGTAAAATGACGCCATCATGCAAATGGCCTATTGGCTATTTTTAGCATAAATTGTGCCCTCTCGTGTGACAGACAGGCGCAATCACAGACGCATTCTTTGCGAGGGCGCCGCGCAAAGGATAAAGAAACAAAATGGCGTCGGAAATTACTTTCGTAGGAGATAAATAAATTCAATTTCTGTCATCATTGCCTCCTCTGAATTTGAGGCAAGGCCTTGAGGAGAACCTCTTGGACAATAACTCTAATTGTGAGGACAGCGAATGTTTGAACCCGTGACCTTGCGATGCTGGTGCGATGCTCTAACCAACTCTGAGCTATGAAGCCACTCATGATGTTGGGACCAGTTCCCAACATCAGTGGCTTCATAGCTTAGTTGGATAGAGTATCGCACCGGATCGCGAGGTCACGGGTTCAGATCCCGTTGAAGTCCTAATTTTTCTTTCAGGCTTCTTACGCAATTGCATAAATTGCGTTCACAACTGCGAGGATCATTCGCGAATTCTTCAATTGATTTCATTTCCGCATGCAGTCCTTATATGACTTATTTCATCTACATCATTTACAAACTTATTTCTAGTAATGTTTATATAACATTCGCTCATTCCTCCACTGTTCATGCATTGCCTCTCGAGATATGAAGCACTTCAAAAGCTCAGAGAGCACTCAAATGAAGTCGCAAACGATCGCCCATCTCCTGAATTTCCCCACGACAGCCGCGCGGTTTCGCGGCTCCCCACGCGAGTTTGTGACGTAGAGGGTGGCGCAGTTTGTTCTAAAAATAGCACATTTGGCTATTTCGATGGAGCCGCCTGGACCCCGCGCTTGCGGTCTCTTACCCCAATTATGGCTACTCCTTCAACTCAATGAGCTGTCCTCTCTTAAGATTAAAATTCCCGATGAATTGTTCCAATGAATTCCTTTAAGGTATCCTGTATAGCATAACAAATCAAAACATTTTAAACGAGCGTGTTTGTATGGCCAAATATACTCTTCATGTTTAAAAATTTGCGACTTTCTTAGAACATAAAACGTACGTGGGTTTTAATCGTAGCTGAATGAACTGTGAGATCATTAGTTTAGTAGTTAATTAACCTGAGTGAATAATAAGCGAGAAAGAGAAAACGAAAGAAAGAGCCTTCTATTTTACTGCTAGTCCGTTCAGTCGCCTGACTGATCTAGCACCTGCTGCAATAGCAAAATCACAACAAAGTTCTTAGTCTTCATAGGACCTCTAAATAAGACTGCTGCAAGATTAGAATGCTGGAAAATATAACAGGTCAACTTACATTGAACTGTAAGTTTCGCAGACGCGTTGACACTTCCCAACAAGTTTTCAGCTCTGCAGCTGTAAACACCCTCGTCTCCAGGTCTAACGTTCTTTACGATAAGAGCGCCACTGGACTCTACCACGTGACGTCCAACTGGAAGCGAAGAATGTATCTTAGACCACGTAACTAGAGGAGTTGGATTACCGTCGGCTGTACATTTTAAGATGACTGTCTGACTTTCATTGACTGTGGTTTCAACAGGACGCTGCAGCAGAGTTGGAGCCGAGATGGACTGGCCCGGCTCACCCTTTGTGCCTTTCTCACCTTGTGGACCTCGAGGCCCCACGGGACCAGGGTCACCCGGAATTCCGAGATCCCCCTTTATACCCATTGCTCCTTGAGGTCCTATTGGTCCATGTTTACCAGGAGGCCCCTCAGGCCCGAGTCTCCCTGGGGGACCTGATCTTCCTCGGATACCAGGCCGTCCTCGTCGTCCAGTGTTACCTTTTGGTCCTGAGCGGCAAAGCGTTTCATCTTTAGTACAGATTTGGTTCTGTAACAGTCGCAGCTCTTCTTTAATCAGTAGTTTTACATTGGAGGTTGTTTGCGTGGATTTTTTCTGTGATTTAACAGGCGATGCGCGCTTCTGTCTTGAGTTGGTGACTTCGGGGCCTTGAAAAATAGCCAAAAAAACAGAAACAAAATAATGTGAACAAATGAAAACGTAAAAATATGGAATTGCCCACTAAAGATTGCTTTCTCTCCATGAAATAATTTTGGTTGTATTTTATAGTTACTTAAATTATTCGCGTTCCATGACACATTAGACACATTGGTTCAAAAAAAAAAATTGGGGCGTAACTGCTCCTTTTGGCTCAAACATAACCTGATCATGAATATCCTTTAAAACTTACCCGTTGTCTGCTCTCTTTGACCCGCTAAATGGCTGCCTTTCGTAATTTGCCAAACTTTGTTATTCTGCTGAATTTTTTGAAGAATGTGTTTCTCCATCTGGCCACAGTATGTTACTGAAGATGATATCAGTCGATAATGTTCTTGTGTTCTGAGTTCCACGTGAATCAGTGCGATACAACATACAACAGACAACAGCAAAGCTGACCTGCAACTCAAGCTGTCCACTGTTTGTCTTCTACTCGCTCCGTTCTCTTCTTTCCTTGCCGATTGCTTCATTTTTTGTCGTGACAGCTACTAACTTTAAACATTCACTGAATCAAATAGAGTATTTGATTTACTTCTAAACCGAAGCCACTCAGCTGAATCGGTAATTCTTCTCGGGTTCTAATAAAGAACTGTCCTTTGCAAAATGTTTAACTTGTCTGTACGTGCTCTGGGCCTCTAGCATAAACAGGAAGTAAGTATCAAATTTTCTGAGGTTAAACGTGTTTCAAATTGCAAAAAACTAGAATATTTGGTCCGTCATATCGCCTGTCAGAAGAAATAGTTGATTATGGATGACCGAGCAAATAACTCCTAATAACAGCGATAGACCGTGTGGGCCCGGAGGGGGGAGTCCCATACAAAAGCGACGGGGATGCTCGTCGTCTCGGTTTGGGGTGTTGAACTGTAGATTTTGTGTCTGGGATGGAAAGTCACTATATTTGCCCATTCAGGTATCGCTTATGACTGTGCATAAAGAAATTTACAAAAAATACCCTGAGACTGACCACACAAAAATCTCCTTTGGAGGTCAATTTAAGCTCGAGCCACACCCAAACTGGTCTCCATCAAGGGTTTAATTTGAACTTTTCGATGAACATCCCCGCCACTTTTATATGGGAGCCCCCCCTCCCCGGGCTTGTGGGTTAGAGAAAGGAGGGGATATACAGCAGATCAATGAACGGAACATGAAAATAGTTTCAATTGATCTTGAGTCAAGGGTAACTGATTTCCGGTAAACTACACTTCACAGGGGTTTGTAATGTATATAGCTAATGTATGTCTGTGNAGATAGGTTGTATTCCTGAATAGATATGAACGCTTACTAACTCATAGAGATTTCATAAGCATAAACAGGAAATAGGCATAAATTAATAAGTCAAATAAACTGAATCTGGGTTAAGGGGGTTTTAAGTCAATCAGCGCTATAGACGCTGTTAGTGCTGGTGGAAAGGCTTTCAATAGGATTGACCCTCTTGTCTCATTATCGTCTCTTGTCCTCATCAAATGTTTTTTATGAATGAATTTCTATTTGTCGCATAAACTATTAACGTTTTCAAAAGAGTTTTCTATGCCAATGAATTGCTTCATTTTTGCCGTAAGGTACAGCCACAAAAATCAGTAACTGAACTACTTATAAGCTGGAGCCATTCGGTAACCTTTTAGGTGATGTAACTGGAGATCTACCTTTAGTAAGAATACAGTAAAGCCCCGCGACTAAGAACCTACATTTTTCCAAGTTTGCCTTAGCAGGTTCTTATATAAATGGTAGCTAAGAGTATTTAGTGGTTTAGCTCAATTCTAATCTCGTACCCAGATCTCACTCTGTTTTACACTTTCCCTTGGCCGTGGGAGATCTGGGCACGAGATTAGCTCAATTCCTGAAATAAAATCCGCATACCAAATAAGCAGTTATGTACAAATGAACATAAAAAGTAGAACTGTATTTAATTTGTAATTGTTTCAAAACCAATTTTATTTGATTTACACATTAGCATTTACATTGCAGTTGGAGTGATAAGGCGGCTATGAGAATTCTGAATGTTGGCTTATCTTATTTGCCCAACTGTACATAATATTTTCGTTTATTTAAGAAAATGAGAAATTCTGTTTCAGATTTTAGGCTGAACAGATTTTTATATAGAGGGGGCTTAACTGGCAAATTTTAGCTTAACAGGTTCTTAAAATTCAGATCCTTAGTCGCGGGGTTTTTGCTGTATTAACTCAGTTAACTTGTCTCTGCCTGTTCTGAGCTCAAGAATCACGACAGGAAGTGAATATTATTCGAATATTTGTTCATTACGCTTCCTCTTAGGAGAGAGCTCTTGAACTCAGTCGTTTTTTTATTATCATTATTTCCACAGGTTGTGAGTTGTGCCAGTTGCGAGCTTAATGGAGTCTCGACTGCACATGCAATCTGTTTGTGCTCTCCATGTCAGTAAACTGACTGCACTGAGAAATAAGTGGGCGGAGAAAACAATAGACAGTGGAATAAGTTTTAATTTAAAAAACAACTTCGAGGTATCTTTCGTTGGAAAGTTGTACAAGTAAGTTTTCCCACCCACCACACGTCAAAATTGTTTTCTCTTCGGGTAATTCATGGCAATCAAAGTCCAAGAGACACCCCACCCGGCCATAAGTTGCAGCTTTTGGTCGGGGCTCCTAGTCCAGTTTAACCCCTACTAATAAATATATGCTTATTTATGCTTAACGATGAAGTCTTAAATCGTTTTTGTTACTAATTCTTTTCTGATACTAAGGACTTGCTTATCGTGCCTCATTTTGATTATTTATTACTTTATTTCATCCCGCTAGGATCTAGAAGGCAACAACAAATACAACTTTCACCCCTTTTTAAGTTTTGGCCCAGAAAAGTCCTAAAATAATCTGAATTATTACCATGACACAGCTTCTAAGAGATGTAACAGAAGCCTTGTGCAGGAGATTTATTAAACAAAGAGTGAATTATACGTAATGATTAGAGCACCCCAAAGAAAGGATGTTTTTTGGAGTGAAGCACCATTAAACTTTGTTCTAGTAGTTGTAACGGCAGGGAGAGTAGATGCAAGGGAATTGCCTTCCTTACACGGACCAGCTAAGCAAGAATGTTTACAAATTTTGGCATAGCATTTGTATTGACAATTTCCTTTAAAGCAGAACTGATCACATTGGTTAACAGTCTCTGAGCAGGTCATGATACAGTTGTCTCGGTAACAAACTTGGTGGCACTCATCTGCATCACATCTTAGTGTCATGTTTCCATCGTATGCTTCCTGGGTACAAGTTGATACTCCATGAGGGCACATCATGTCGCAGTCCCCATTGTAACAACTTTGCTGACACTCGACTCCATCACATTTCATTGTTATCCTTCCAAGAAGCGGTACATATCCGAACTGAGAACACTTTTTAGCTTCACGCGGGCACGTCATAGCACACTTTGTATCTTGACAAACCTGGATACATTGTTTTGCATTGCAGGTCATAAATTCACACGTCCCAAAATTGCACACCTGTCGACAAAATCCTGGCATTACACTTGATGAACAGTTCATGTTACATTGACCCAACGAACATTGCTGCTCGCATACGTTTCTGTCACATTTCATATCTGCGATACTTTCCCTTGCCTCTTGTGTACAGTTGGCTCCACCTAAAGGACACGTTAGTCGGCACTCCTCCCTGAAACAAGACTGCGTACAAGCATTTGCTTCACAAGTCAGTTCACTCCCTGAATTTTGCTTGCATCTGACAGAGGTCTTACCACATGTAAGACTACTGCAGTTCCCCATGTAGCACGACTGATCGCAGGCCATCGCATCGCAGGTTAAGGACCCACAGTTGCTCAGTGAGCATAACTGTAAGCAGTATTCCGAAGCGCGACATTCAAGAGCATCACACCTGCTTGGAAGACAAATCTGACGACATGAGTCATATTGATCATGGGTCTCCAGTCCACATTGCATTGTGCAAGGAGTTTCTGCACATGATACCTGGTTACACGAGTTATTGTTTGGCTTTGTATCACAGTCAATTTTGTTGCTTGTTGGGTCCACCAGAGGCCACGAAACGCAGAACACAGCAAACACCAAGAGAAACATCGTTCTTCCAAGTCAGAGCATGCATGTAAGAACCTAGCAGGGTAAAAAGGTTATAAAGGAATCGATTAAGGTACAACGAAGTCGTGCACACCTAATGTGCATCACAATATATAATAAATGTTATGTGAAAACACCACAGGATCGGAGGGAGAGTCAGGGCGGTTAAGGCGCGCATTACAGACAAAAGTTTTGTAAAAGTTAACAAGGACATCTTATGAAAAGTTAAGGTGCAAGACCACTGCAAAACACCGTGTACGATCAATCTTGCTAAACGTTGGATCAAAAAAGACCGCGATCAGTCAAAATAAATAAAAAGTATAAATCATCGTTGCATCGTAGTGAATGCCAGAGGAGTGTCAGGTGAGAAAAGTGCTTTTTCTCCATCGATGCACTTATCCAGTTGCCATGCCTTTGCATTATACTTCTACTTCTTTTAAACGTTCTTTGCTAGTTTCTTGTTGCCCTTCACTCAAATGAAACAAATTTAAAAGACTACAAAGATATCATTGTTTTCACTTTGCATCTGGAGCCGACTTTTCTAATCAGCGAGAAGGAGGGTTCGTTTCGTTTTACTTAACCGCGGTAGGATTAGTTCAGTTGATAGTGCGCATGACTGTAGTGCAGGAGGTCGAGGGCTCGATCTAGTACTCTGAACCTTAAAATAACTGAGAAATAAAGGTACTGCCTTTGCTTTGCAAACGGCTAGACCTTCGCGTTTCTCGGATGACAACATAAAATGGCGGTCTAATCTCCAGTAAAAGACGTCAAAATAGTAGGGACCTTAAGATCTGAGGACGGCGACGGTGGCGAAAGAGTCGCTTAAGAAGTAAACTCACGTTATATCAATCTTCAGCGATATCATTCCAACTGACTTACTTCGTCAAATAAAGGCGAACTCTCC